GTTCTGCAAATTTTTTCTGATATCTCTTTCTACCACCTATGTAGCTACTACTTTTCACTGTAGAATTATCCTACTGGAAAGTTGAATTGTTCTCTGAATTTTCTCCCTTACTTGTTGTTCTAGCAAACATGATGTGAACAATATTTCTGGGTATCTTGAGACTATAGCATCATATAGGTTGCTTGTTCGTGTTGTAGTGATGTTGTTAATAACCAAATTGTTTTGTCTACTGCTTACTTCCAAGGTATACTGTTCATATACGTGAATTGTACAATTTTAGCTCTACTGTTAAAGCTATTCTTCTGAAAAATAGGTTTCTCTGGATCTTTCTCATTATTTTCTTGGAGACACTCTTCCCCACCCCCACCTCCATTTCTGCCCTTCTGTTTTTATTCTATTATTTTAGCTCCAAAGATCCTTTCACGTTTCTAGTAATTCCAAATGGATTCTGAGCCAATTGCTAATTCTGAGGTCTAGTACCTACTACATTTTTAAAACCAGCCTTTTAGATGTCATTGCAGAACAGACTCCCCCTTTTTGTTTAATTGCTCTACAAGTCTTGGTTTGCTGGATCAAATAGCAGTGCAGTTGTATTCTGTTTCTCATCTGTTGTTTCATCTAGATAGCCCCAGTCGCAGTCATGGCAATGTTGACTCTGCTTTATTACTTTATCAGGGATGGTGTGCATTCAGTATGAAGATTCACAGGAGCACAAATGTCAGTATACGGCTGTAAAGCAGTTACAGTGAGTTTCCTTACTTCAGCTAAAATCAGGGCAGATGCCAGAATATTTTTCCAAAAGGATGATGATGAACAAGAAGTAGATCTCGCTGTTCTTCCAAACTGCCTTTCAGTTCATCTTAAGAGTACCAAATGAGAACCTGAGTTCAAGCTTACCTGAAATAAAGTTTGCCTCTTCTGACTGTAACCTTCCGCAACCTGCATTGCAATTCTCCATCATGCGCTGTGCTGATTAGGCTTCAGGGAAATCCAGCACATCGGGATGAATACTGGGGTTGGGAAGACTGTGCTATTGAATTTCTCCCTGCAATGTGCTGTCACAGGGAAGAACTGAATATGTTAGGACAAATGTTCATGTGTGATGGAGAGGCCCAAGTGTGTTTTAGAATACTTCCCAGCATCCTGTCCAATATGAACAGTTCCTTGAGAAAATCCTTTGATGTTAACGTGGAGGCCACTGAACTAAGAAGAATTGTGTATGGAAGTGGCTATTTCTTTCCATTTATACCACTCTTAATCATCCACTTTGCAGACCAGTGTTTACTCTAGTGACATCTGTAATCAAGTGTGTTTGATAATTAAATGCTTCTCCTGCTCAGTAATGTCTTGCTGGCTTTATTAATAGCAGCTAATCTGTAAAATGCTTAAGTCTCTGGGATCTTGGGAATCTACTTCTTTGTTCTTACTGTGGAATATTTAATTTAAATAATTACTAATGTATTGAATGACCTCTCTTCCTAAACCATTAGCCTGTAGACCAGCTAATGTATATCACAATGTAATGCAAAAAGAAAAGGCTACTCAAAAGTAGGTAAGCCAGCATCATAATGTCTGGCACTAAAATGAAAGTAGTATTGGCCCCTGTGGACCTTCAGGAGGAGTCTGTTCTAAAGATGAGGCACCATCCTGCCCCAAACTTCTACTTTTTGGACTGTGTGCTTCCACAGCAAACAAACTTAGGATAGCAACCTCCTCTGAAGATCTTAAAATATGGACAGGCTGACATTTAACATTTATATAATTCTTGGGAATAGCATTGTAAAGGTACCTCCATAGTATTATTCCTGTTGTGCAGGTATGATGTACAAAAAAAACATCAGGTGAGTACCTGCTTTCCAGATATTTCCTGAAGACCTGTTACGGCGTCATTTCAGCTACAGCAGAATTGAAAAGTCCTTCCTGTGTATCATGTTTTCTATCAAAGTTATGTCAAGAATTTCTGCTCCTTTTTAGAGAACCACATCAAGAACTTCCTCCTTTTGTTTTGCATTTGGTCCCTATGACTTTTTAAAGCATAGAAACTTTGCATAGTGAAAGCCAAGGTTTGATTCTTCAGGAGAGGCACCTAGACTTCCTTTTTTGTTCTGATGAGAAATCTACAGGCAAGAGGGACTTTTCTCAGCAACTATGAGTTGGGCGTTGTTGGAAAGCCCTAGAAATCAAGACAAAGATAAGTCTCATTAACATTGTGTTTGAACCTGGTTGATTTGGTATCTTTACTGCCAGTAATATCCTTACTCCCAATAAAGACAGGTTTGCACATATATACTCTAAATAATAACTCACTACTTTCTATCCATCTTGTCCTCTTTAGATCATTGTACATTTTCTTGTTTCTCACCACCCATGTGTGTATTTGATATAGGTGCTGCCTGACTCCCAAACAACTCTGGGTGGCTCACAATTTAACACATAGTGTAGAATGAAAGAAATAGACAAGTAGACACAGTACAAGATGGAAATCCAGTCACTCAACAGCAAAAACAACAAGAACTCTGCAGAACATGTGCCAGAAGGGGCTGCATTCACCCTAGCCCAAGGACTGCTACATGACAAAGCATCTGTCTCTAGAGCAGTGTTTCTCAACCTTGAGAACTTGAAGATGTGTGGACTTCAACTCCCAGAATTCCCCAGCCAGCATGCGAGTCGAAGTCCACACATCTTCAAGTTCCAAGGTTGAGAAACACTGCTCTAGAACCTGACTTACCTGCAGCAATATCTCTGGGTCACCTCTAAACCCCACAGGCATTGGTAGAAAATAAAAGCAATGAGTGGCTGCAGTGCAGAACTTTATTTGAAGCCATGCTGGCCTATCCTCCTCCTCCCACCATGAATGAATGAATGAATGAATGAATGAATGAATGAATGAATGAATGAATGAATGAATGGGGGTGTACAATCTTCGGTAGGTGAAGCCCCCCTGCAGCACACCCTCAACTTTTCACATTGACCCTCAAGAATGTTGATGTTGCCTTGCAGAGCCCTGGCACTTGAATCGGGTAGAGGCACTTAAGAGCAGGAGAAAATAATCACACAATGACCTGCTGCAGGAGTGCGAGCACTGATTTAATCACACCACAGGAACCGTGCATATCAGGGGAGATGGTGGGGAAAGAAATATGTGCACCCAGCCTGAGATTTCTCACCAAAAGGAATTCATGAATCCACTCTGCTACTCTGGTGAAATACTAGTGGGGGGAGGATATTTAGGTTTGAGAAGGAGTTTGTACCATAGTTTAAAAGAGTTGGCAGGTGGTGCTGCATCAGGGTTTTATCTCTGTTGCTAATCTTTTTCAGCGCTGTAAATGTGAAATATACCATAACCCTAATGATTCCTGGCTGGCTCTTGAAGCTGAAAGTACAACCTTCGTTTCTTGGACCTTCCGGGTCTGATGTGAGAGTTCTCTGGGGTGGAATCTGCTTTGGGCTTTTCCTTTTTGGCCCTTCCCCTCCACTGCCCTGCAGCTGGGGGGACACTGTCAGAACACCGGTAAAGAGCAGCTCTTTGAAAGAGGCAGAAACCAAAGTGGCGTGTGAGATAAGATTATGAACATGGAAGGGTCTCTTGCACTAGCTGGATTCCTCCTGCACTGCAGATCTTCTCCTCTGACATCTGCATTCACTGAGCTTCATATATGATGTCCTGCCAGTATTGCTCACATAGCAAAGCCTAGGCCTGGAAATTTCACAATTTGCCAGTTCCAGTAACTCACCATAGCTGCCGTTGGGTATTGCAGCCTTCCCCAAACTGATGCCTTTGCCCTTCAAATGTGTTTCCAGTACATCTGGAGAGTGCACTGAAGTAGCCGTTTTCAAGAAGTCAAATATCCCTTCAGATCTTTTGTCTCTGATTTGAATCTGGCTTGTCTGAACTAATCCAGATTCTTACTAGTTTTCCTTCCTTGGAGCCTTGTGGGTGTGTGAGGGCTCCAACTCCCAGCATTTTAAGCTAAGCCCAGTTTTTCCAAACTGAAGCCTAGCAATGAACTTCAGTGACATCTACAACCCAGGTTGGCACGCAGTGGGCATTCTGAATTCTCCCCATCTTAATCACCCACTCCTACAAATATGATGGTTCTCTGTTGGACTTGAAGAACTGATTCCAGGCCTTCAAGAACCTGGCAACCCAGAAAAGCATCAGCGAGAGCTGGATTGCATCTTGTGGCTGCTGCCTGTATTCAAAGCAAACAACTGAATGTTCTGTTTCAAGGGCATTCAAAGCACCTTGTGGCTTCATGTAGTAATTTCTTTCAGTCTGCACTGCTGTTCTTTGCTGGCCTGCAAGGAAGAACACCATTAACAAAGCTGATTTTTCTTTCTGCCTGCCCTGAAATACCAGATTTGCAGGAGTCTGTGTGTGTGTGTGTGTGTGTGTGTGTGTGTGTGTGTGAAGAGCATTCATCTGCCTGCAGTCTGCAGGGGTATACTCTGTTCGGCCTCTCATCCAGCTGGGCAAGCTCCACTTAAATATGAAAAGGGTAACAATCTTATGGGTGTCATCCTGTGCCCACCTTTTGACATTTCTACAATAGTCATTCATTTAAATAAGACTTCTAGTTTTGCCTTTGTTGAGTGGTGTCTCTTCTTGTTCAAACTAAACTGAAGCTATGAACGTCATGCCTTGAGTAATGGATTAATTAACATTGGTACAATGGAATGATGATTTGTTGGTGGGCAGATTTTGGACCCATTATTGAAAGGGAAAAGACAGCAATAAGCAACTGTGGGTTTTTTCCCTCTCTGCTTCCCTGTTCTTGATCCACCCCTGGTTTAGAACAGTATCATAGGTAGATTGTTTCTCCATCCTTTGTCTTCCAACAAGGTTACGACTTCGTTTCTTGGTATGAATGTTTAAAAACCAGTTTGTACCATAGTTGGAAGATCCGGCCTCTGTTTGGCCTATAGCAGCTTCTTGGAACAGAGATCTTGCACAGCAGCTCAGAGCCGTGCTGATAACACTTTTCCTTGGACTTTTGCAGGGCCAAGATGGGCCTCGTGGAATATTGGTGTCTTCATTTGCATCCGCTGTGCGGGAATACACCGGAATCTGGGGGTCCACATCTCCCGAGTAAAGTCTGTGAATCTGGACCAATGGACACAGGAACAAATACAGGTCAGTAGCAGGATATAGATTTTTGCCAGGTAAAAAACTAATAGGTGTGCGTGTGTGTGCAGTGGTGGGGAATTAAGAAAAGGTTATTCCTGTCTTGGAATTTATGGAATGCTCTTCTGCCCTTAGAAGATGCTTCTAACTTGCCATTAGAAGATGCAAGTTGAAGAGAATGGTTCTAGTTCTTTCTCCATTACATGCCAGTTTTCTGTCTTCAGAGACCTGGGACTCCTCATTCCCACAAAACCTGTCTGGAGCAGTCTGTATACAAATTTAGCATTTATTTGGACTTTAAAAAGAGCCCCTTATTTTAGTCTTTTATCCAGCAGTCACCGTATGGTTTAATGTAGGTTATTTGAAAAGTTTTTATTTTTTTATTTTGGAAACAACTGCTCTCCTCCCTACCCACCATCACATATCCTGGATGATATTTGGCATCTCTGTTTCTGATCTCATCATGAGGCTTTTCTCTCATTTCTTCAAGTCTTACTGACTGAGGAAGCACATTAACAGGGCTGATGAAGGCCACTTTCTTCACCATTCCTGTAAGGTTGGGAGAAGGCTGGTTTAGAATAAGATACATTCACTTCAGAAGGAGAGGAGGGGCTATATTAGATGTGTCCTTTTATAAAATAAAACAGTCATAACTGGTGAGTGAACATAACTGCTCTTTCTAGTAGATACAGATACAGTTTTCTGATGATCTGACAGAAACTGAGAATGCATTCAGCTACCAAGACATCATAAACCTTGATGATTGCAGGTTGATGTCCAAACACCATTCTAGAAATGTTCTGGCAGACACCGATATGAACTCCCACTCCTCCCTGATCCTTTGGTTGTCAGGGTTCCAAAAAAAAAGCTTACTTCCTGCAAGAAAAGTCTGATTAATTATACAACATCACAGAGACTTTCTTTTTTGTATTCCAGTGCATGCAAGAAATGGGAAACGGGAAGGCAAATCGCCTTTATGAAGGTTACCTGCCTGAGAACTTCAGACGACCCCAGACAGACCAGCATCCTTTCTCTGCCTGTCGTCCCCAAGAGAAGATGGAGGCCTTTCAAAGGCTTAGCATCACTGGAGGGGGAGGGGGAGATCTCATCAATTTCTGCATGAACCCTTTCAGAGGGATCAGAATGGAGCGCTTCAAACAGAGTCCGCAGCCTTTTTTGGAATTTTGTCGAGGTTCCCCTGTTGGTGCGCATCTTCTGGAAAATGGAACCTCACAAGTAGACACTGATTAAAGAGGCTACGTGTGCAAGAAAGTAGCGTCTCCCTCTAATCTACACACTCCTGGAGACTGCATGTTGGTTTTCAGCACCAATAGGAATGGGGATTGCTCTTGCCTTTACTCGAGATGTTTTTTCCCAGTTTAGTCAACACATCTGAGATTTCCTGGTGATCACTTTTAAAACAATTTATCAGTCGTGTGGAAGAAAGGGATGGCTCTATAGCCATGTTTTTCAAACTTGGCAACTTCAAGATGCGTGGACTTCGACTCCCAAAATTCCCCAGCCAGCATGCTGGGTGGGGAACTCTGGGAGCTGAAGTCCACCCAATTTAAAGTTGCCAAGTTTGAAAAACACTGGGTTATATGGAGACAGGTAACTAATAAAACCAGCAATCTCTATGCTGACAGGAGCAATTTATCTGGCCATGGCCAGCCATGGCACTCCTAGAAAGTCTGGCTAGGTCACAGATTGGTATCCACAATCCTAACCCCTATCCTGTAACTTGTTATCTGGCTTTGCATATGGAAAGCCACGCTCCCATATCCCCCCGCCCCCGGAGTGGAGCACGGCTGCAAATTTACCATTATCTGAGCTGCTAAATCCTCAAAGACCGCTAGATGGCAGCAGATGCTTATAGTTTTCTATAACTTGTGCTGCCACCTAGTGGCAGTCCAGAGTTTTGCAATGCAGATCTGGCAGCCCTACATTTGTCATCACGTGGAAGGGGTTACATTTTCCCCTTTGGCCAATTCTAGCTAGCTTAGTTGCAGACTCCTGAGCAAAGATGGTTGGCCTTCAAGGTTATTGCAGCATCTTATTTGATAACAGAATCTGTCCGTCTATCTATCTATCTACTATATCTGTCTATCCGTCCGTCCATCTATCTATCTATCTATCTATCTATCTATCTATCTATCTATCTATC